GGAAGTTCGTTTCTAGACCTGAAGATCAAAATGCTGCATTCTTTCTTGCCATAATCCTATGGCCCAGATATAAAGTCATTGGGTCCATTCAACATGAATGAGAACCAGAAAGAAATGTCAATGTCATGCTTCTGGGTCATCAAGAAGAATAAATAGGGAATGGGAGAAGAAATGCAGAAAAATTGAGTCTGCAGGAAATCAACCAGCTGTCAACCTACAGAGGGGGAAGAGGTAGTAGTGAGGCCCAGTTCAGGAGGAAAAGTGATTTTCAGTTTATCTCTGGACTCACCATGGAAAGCATTTTCAGTCCTTTGCATCCTAGAATCCCAAGCAATTGGATCCTTTGAGAAAGTGTGACAGAGCATTTATATTTAGATGAAAACAAAAGAATTCCAAATCTGTTAAATCAATTTACAGAAAGGAGCTGGTTTTTGTACCCTCACACTTTTCATAGTGCTCAGCAACTACTGGGAACAAAACAAATATTTGAAGAATTAATGAATGAATACACTAAAACTTGCTGAAGGGCAGAACAATTTTCTATTAAATTAAAAACTCTAAAGGCAAATGTAATATGACTATTGTTCTGCCCATTATTACTTCAATAGTACTAGAGAAAACCGTATTTCATTCTTTATTGTGTGCTTGTTCTGAACAAGTCCTCGTCAAAAGAGTTTGCTCCAGTATTTTCAGGGTTTTAAAAGATAGAATAGATCTAAACAGAGTCAATGTAGACCTCAACAATTGAATATACAATTTCAGCAAAGTATGTCCTTTGCAGTTTGAGCCCACTAAAGCTACTACATGGATCATATAATTGATTTGTGGCACATTCTGCCTGCATCTACCCAATGGTTTATTAAAATAGAATAGACAAATGCCAATAAAATGAAAAGCTCCACTGAGAATTGAGCAAACCACGTTGCTTTCTTCACACCTAGGGTATTCCAACCAATAGTAATTTTACAGCAGCTCTCTGTAGTACCAGATACAGAGCTCAGTAATCAGGAGTCCACAATACAAGTAAGCCTTTCTCTAAAGCACAACAAAGAAATGAGTTTATGAAATCACCATTAAATATAATAGAACACTGGAGAGATGAGTAGAACAGAGGAAAGATGAAATGATGAACACAACACATAAGAACCAATTAAAAATGTACCATCTCTGCAGGAAAGCAACCATGTGTTGATAAAGCTCTTTATGAATATTAAGTACCGTAGCATAAGATGATTAGAACTGAGAGCCTCAAAAATCTGTGGCCGAAAGAGGTTCAATTATCAAAGAAAGATACCTAAAAATAGATTAAATGGTATAATCAGCTCCCCAATTTATCATTATTATCCCAGTTTGGAATATCACTTATCTTTAGTAAGATGCAGTGTATGGTTAAGAAATAATCTTTATCCTCACTTTTCTTAATAATATAACACATGTATTTCATATGTGTATGATTTCTACTTTGCTACAAAAATCTGAACATAGAGAATCAACTGTTTTAAGAAAGAATTTTTAAAATTAAATCAGAATAGGTGTTGTGCTGAGGAATTCAGTTGCTCAGGAACTGGGATAGAGTGGTGAGGGGTTAAGTGTGACAAAATAGAAGGTGGTTAATAGCATGGTTATTTGGAGGGCGGGGGCGGGAAAGCAAAATTTAGAGACTCAGAAACTAAAGAAAATTATTTTCATAGAGAAAAAAATTCCACCACCTTTAGAGACCAGTTGAACACTGAGAATATAAAAATTTCAAAACTTTGAATTAGCTTTTTTGTTGGCCTGTGTTGATTTATTCTTTGAGCAAATATTTACTTAATGCCAGTCATATACAGTGGAGTAATGGATACCAGAAATACAAAGATGGGTAAGACACAGCCCCCATAGCTTGCTATTTTAAGGACTCAAAAGGCTTTTAAATATCAAACATCTCTTACCAAATTGCATTTTGGTTAGTTGTGTGTAGAGGAATTAACAACATTTTGTTGGATTTTCGTCAAACCCCAAAAGGATTTTTTAAAAATAGGAGAACATTAAGGATAAATACACCTCTAGTAGAAGTAGAAACATTGCATTTTAAATTTGGCCAATGGAAAATATTTTGTGTATAAATTAAAAAAAAAAAAAAAAACCTGTTTTCAACTTTCATATCCCAGCCCTTCCTTTCTTATATTATGGAACTTTACTCAGTGGCTAATACTATTGTTCCACTGTAGCCACAACACTGAAGTTATATCTTTTTCAGAGTGCCTGGACTAGTTTCCTATATGCAAATAGGTAAACAGCCATTTCCATTGACATCAGAATAAGTTCTGTCTCTCCTTCATTTACTGACACTTCTCCCTGTGTGTGTAAACAGGCATGTGATCAATGCTATAATCAATGCCTTGGAAATATGGTAAGATTAGGGAGATATATACAGAGAATCAATATGAACCACATTCACTCTCTAGGCCACATGTAATTTGAATTTATTCCACATTTGATTAAGTCATTTTCCCCCAATCCCTATTTTCCTCCAACCCTTAGATGGTTACTACCTAACCATGGGCAAACAAATGAACCATGTGTTCCTGTAGATTCTAGTTCTATCTAGAGTAATATTTGTATAAAAAAGAGATTATGCAGATTTCTGGGAAATACATTTTATACAAGATTTCATTCCATTTTTAAAAATTACTCATCAACTTACCAAACCCAAACTCAGGTTATCCAGTGATAATGGAAATTACTGATGGTTTTTCAAAGCTCACGTTAGCTCCTCCCTAGCCACCATCCCTCCCTTTCATAGAAAACATTCTTCAGACTGACGGAGACTCTGCTTTAAGCCGTGTCAAGCCTTACCCCAGAGCAGTGGTTCCAAGCATTTTTTTCTGTATTTTCGTGGACTAGTAAAACCCCTCTAAATGTTTTGGGAGCTAAGATAATATTGTTATCTTTTAATTATTCAACTAAAAATTTAAAAGGTGAAAACACAGCTATGAGAATTTAAACAAAAGAATAACCCAAAAAATAAAGTTACAACCTCATAACAGATTTATATGTGTGTGTGTGTGTGTGTATATATATATATATATAAATGTACTTAGCTCCATGAAAATGCTCAGAATTCTTACTTTTTTTCCATCTTGCCACAGATTGCCTTTTGGGAAAAACTACCTTTGTGCTTTGCATAGATAGGGGCTATAAAGGAACAAGTTAACCAAATATTCAATTTCTGCTGTTTATGTACCATGGCATGGGCTTAGGTTTACACTGGCAGCAGAGTAGAGAAATGCAAGGAAGTGAGAAAATGTATGAATCAGCTCCATACCATCTTAGCCTTCATAGCTATTTATTATTGCCAGTGTGGTCAATACCTCACACACGCAATGAGCAGGGGAAATGCCAAGGCAAGAAGATTATTACTCAAAGTTTTCCCCAGTCAAGTTAGTGTGTAACCAGTAAACAATAAAATTTCTCTGAATTCAGGAACAATTTAAGTAAAAAGTCACTGTCAGACATTGGAGGGGATGAAAAAAATTTTTTTTTGTTTTTTGTTTTTTGTTTTGAGACGGAGTCTCACTCTGTTGCCAGGCTGGAGTGCAATGGCACGATCTCAGCTCACTGCAACCTCCGACTCTCTCATTCAAGCCATTCTCCTGCCTCAGCCTCCCAAGTAGCTGGGATTACAGGCACATGCCACCATGCCCTGCTAATTTTTGTATTTTTTTTTCTTTTTCTTTTTCTTTTTCTTTTTTTTTTAGTAGACACGGGATTTCACCATGTTGGCCAGAATGGTCTCAATCTCCTGACCTCATGATCCACCTGTCTCAGCCTCCGAAAGTGCTGTGACTACAGGTCTGAGCCACTGGGCTCGGCCGAAAATTGTTATTAAAAGATGCAGTGTGAGTATCAAAATACAAGTGACAGCTTAGATATCTCCATCTGCTGTCAAGGCTTATGCATACCCAAAGCTTATTAAAGTGACCTGCAGGAAGGTAATGTAACATAAGAAAGTGGTAAAATTATCTACAGTCTTTGCAACTAGGGTTTGTGTGTGTGTGTGTGTGTGAGTGTGTGTTTTAATGTGAATTACCTTGTATGCGGTTAAGAAATAAGAGATCAATATCAGGAGACTCATATTGGTTTCAAACTCATATTTTGAAGTAATTGGAGTAACTTTTCTTACGGGCAAACATAAAGCCTTACTAAATATGAAAGTCTCAGGAATAAAAACTTAAAATCTACAAACGTGCTTTCCTTTAGTGCAAATAGTGGCTGTTCCAATGGCTCAAAGAACTGCTGGTTTTCTACCACGTTAAGCTCTTCAGCAAAAGTGGACGTCCAGATGGTGAAACCACAAAGATATTTCCCCTATATTAACGTGACAGACTGATGAAAAAGGCAGATGAAATATGATCCTAGATCATACTTTCAATTTAGCTCAAAATGGTCTACTTTAGAAGCAACTGTCCTCCAAGACCCATATCTCAAAGGAGAAACACAAGCCCCAGGATCTAGGCTGCAAAGAGTGTACCACTGTAGCTAGACGCAGAGGCTGGGAGAATGTTAACTGTACTAGCCACTTTACTATGATGTTTATTGGTTTTGTTAGTGCTTGGCTCAAAGTTCCATGGGCTTTGAGTCATCTGCCCCCAACTCTGTTTTTTCCACAAGCCCTGATATTTTTAGCATACAATTTTGTAGAACTATGGTTGTAGCTAAAACGCCTGTAGTTTATTTTCACACAGCAGCCAAAGCACCTGTGTGACCCAGAGAAGGATAGTGTCCTGGACAGGGGTCTTAGAAGGTTATTAGAAGGAATTGTAATTGGGTTTGCAGCAGCATCTAGAGGAAATGGCTCCTGATGTGATCTGTTTCTTGGCACTGAAGTGTCTCTGGTTTGGAGAAAGGCAATGCATCAAGCTATTGTAACTTAATGGGAAAGGAGAGAAAGAAACAGTAAAGAATATTTAATTCCCTTATTTCTAATTATATGTTTCTTCTGTAATCTTCTAATCCAGGGTTGGTATATAGAATTCCTCTCAAGTGCCAACTCCAATTGACTGGTGGTGGCTGCCTGAGGCACCGAAGGGAGAAGGATGCTGAGGCCCTGCTGGGCTTCCTGGAAAGACTGCCACGATTGATTAGTGATGTCTGTCAGGAGTTGCTGCACCTGTGTCACCCCCATAATCTATGATACAGTTGGGGAAATTTGCCCAGCAAGATGAATGATCTGGGAAGACAACCAGACTTGGTTCTGGAATTGGTACATTTACCTTTGAAAATGAACAAATGGATTCTTAGATAACCAGTACATCTCTGTCAGTTTCACCTGAGGCTGCTCATTTGGGTGAGCTGAGAAAATGGAGTGTTTAAACCAGCAATGCTAAAGACATTAGAAGTCCTAACACCAACAATGCTACTTAACTGAAAAAGCACTGCTTAAAGGATCCTACCATTCATTATATTTTGACTTGTTGTGCATTGAGAAACTGTGGAGTATTTACCATCCCTCTCCCATCACCCTACTTAATACTTGCCGTATTTCTTCAACTATAAGATGCCACCCCATCAGTGTACACCAGGAGACAGTCAAGATGTAGTTTTCACATGTGTGAACTTGGTTATTTCTGGTGCTCTTGGAGTGGGCAGCTGTAACTTCTTGATATTTAAACTAACAAATTATTTAAGAACAATTTGAGGAAAGAATATGAGTCTCGTTACTGTCTGAAAACCTTTCTTTCCCAATGAAGAGAAAAAAGCATAATCCATACTTGCAGAACAGTGTCAGCAGCTCAGAAGAAAACCCTAGAAAAAATAATTCAGTGGAACATCCTTGTCAGAAATGCCACACTGCCAGTGTTTTAGACAGCACAGAGGACAGACTGAATAGGGAAGTGCATGGATATCAGACATCAGCATGTCTGAGTTAAAGAGTGGTTCAGAGAAGTCCATCTCTAAATGCGAGCCTTTAGAAGGGCTTAACCAATGTATTTCTCTTTTATTTCCTTTTTATGTTTGCAAAAGATACACATAGACAAATCCGAAAGAACTTTTCTATTAAGTATAAAATAAACTTTTGTGTCATGTTGACACCATTTTTCTTTCTCATTGGTACATAAAATATTGTTGTGTTTTATGGTGCCTTAAATTCAATGAAATGTGGTATAATTTGCATTCATGGTATAAGTTAGGAAACGTAGCAGCAAAAATTTGATTATTCATTGTCCAAGCTCCCTGATCGCATTAGTTGCACATCTAGAATTAGAATTTATAAAACCTTAATTCTTGCCTACCCTCTTGAGTGTCACCTGTTGCCATATTTCAGAAAGGTTTGTTTAAGTAACCAAATTATGGGCTGGATAGCTGAATAGGTCAGCCTAAAATAAAGCCACTCTATAGGCCAAACAAATGACTGTTCTCTATGGGTAAATGTTTCCTAGTCCAAGGACACACTGTAGCTTTAGCATAGATATAAAAGGAAGAATGGACATTATTTGAATTATTTTGCTAATAATCAACTGTCATTTTGATAAGAAATACTTAGCCTCCTTGTCTGCCTACCTCTTTCTTTTCATCTTTAATTTCATTTTCACACCAAAAGCACTTTTTTGTGTGAACTTTTACAATTAGTAATCATGGTACAAAGAAACTATTAGGCTGAACCATATACAAATTGACAATATTTTACCATTTTTGACCTACAGAATCAGCAAGTTTGTGTGGTTCAACTTAATACATGACAGGAGACAGTCATTAAAGCAGTGCACGGTCTGAGGCCAGAGGACATCCCTTCATTCATCATTATTAAGAATCTTCTAAGTACAATAGTTCCTCCATTTGAGCTTCTCCTCAGCTATATGGGGAGCCTCTGAATAACACTTTTTGTGTAGGTTTTCTGTCAAGACCTTCATTTGATCAACTGTGTACAATATCTTTTAACTCAATAAACATTTATTGCACACTTTAATATGATCCGGGCACTGTTCTCAGCCTTGGATACAAAGATCAGTGAGTCAGAGCCCCTATTCTTAGAAGCTTGCAGTCTAGGAGGGGAGGAGACAGGCATGGACATCATTACAGTGCAAAATAGCAAGTAATATAATAGATAGAAATAACATGCTGAAAAGGCACTGACCCTGCCTGGCTGAGCAAGAATGCCTCAGAGCAGGTGATGTTTATACTGAGTCTTGAAGGATGAGCAATTTACTTGTCAGCAAAGAGGAGGATGATGCAACACCACCCAGCAAAATGGTTTGTTCCAAGCCACAGAAGTACAAGAAGAAGAACCTGAGTTTGAATATAGATAGGACAAAGGCAAGAGAAGGGACAAGGACAAGGGTGACAAAGGTGAGAGAAGGGGCACGAGGTGAGATTTGAATGAAAGTAAGATCCTGGTTATGAAGAGCTCTCCAGGTGGGGCTTAGGCGTTTGCATTTTATATAACAAAAGACATTGACATGGGTTTAAATTGCTTAGAAATAAAACCACTTCTTCAGCTTTATTTGTATACCCAGTCCAGTTATCACCTAAGTTTATAGAAACATTGCATTTGCTACTCTATAGCAGGCAAGGGTTCTTTCTGACCATCCCTGGCACACATGTGAGCCAAAGCAACCTGGATTTGCAAGGGGTTGTTTCAGTCCTGACATCTCTCTTAAACACAGTCATTGAGCTGTGGTTCCTCACTGTGGCTGAAAGCATAGCCAAAGGCTGCATTATTGTGAGATTGTGGCTTTGACAATTACGTGCTCCTCCACTGCAGGGCTCTTACTTTACATGGGTGAAGGAGCTTGCCAATACACGCTCCATGTTTTCATATTTTCCCTATTGGGTAATTGCAAAATGGGTGATTCCACCTAAATACAGTGAGATTGATTTCATCCAAACTGCCGACTGGCTAATCAGTGGCCCAGTTTTCCAGCCATGTGATCTGGCATCTGCGTTTTACCACTCATCAAATTAAATTACACAGCACCAATAAATTACCAGCTCATGACCGAGCAAAACCCTTTTCCTTAAACTCCTTCCTGGTTAATACTTGTGCAATGTTTAATAGTGCCACAGTTTATCTATACAGGGATGTCAACAGGAATGTATCAAAATTTTACCACAAATGGAGATTTATGTATGTGCAAATTATACATAGACACACACATATATGTATAGATATGAATATGTATGAATGAGTTATTCTATTGATGTGAATTTTCCAGATGCCTAAAGCTAAGTCAAAAATTAAATCTAAGTCAAAACAAAAATCAAAAATTGTTGTTTCATTTTACTTAATCGAGTCTTTATGGAAATATTTCTGAAAGTGCTGGAAATGTAAGTTCTGGAGTCAGCCTGCTCTGTTCGAATCCCTGTTTCTTTGTCTACTGACTTTCCGTCTCTGGGCAAGTAGTAATCTTTCTGAGCCTCAGCTTTCTTATGTATAAAATAAGAACAATAGTAACCACCTCATAGGGTTGCTATGTGAATTAAATGAGGTGTGCATATACAACATTTGATAGGCAGTGGGCATTCAAGAAATGCTAGCAATGAATACTTTATGCATATTAGAAATTGCTTCTTGAAAGCTGGGGCCATCATGGTGAACATTAATGATTGTAAGACAGCTAATAACTGATGCCCTCAGCTCCTGTTAAGAGCCAGAAAGTTATTTGCCTCTCCATTAAATTGACCCAGACTGCCAGGATTCTTTCCAGTCTTGTCTGGGTTTTGAGTTTTTATATAGCATCCCGACATGGTTTCACTCTGTGGCCCCATCCAAGTCTCATCTTGAACTGTAATCCCCATAATCCCCATGTGTTAAGGGAGCGACCTGGTGGGAGGTGATTGCATCATGTCGGCAGTTTCCCCCATTCTGTTCTCATGATAGTGAGTGAGTTTTCATGAGATCTGGCAGTTTTATAAGTGTTTGACAGTTCCTCCTTCACACACTCTCTCTCTTGCCTGCCACCATGTAAGACGTGCCTGCTTCCCCTTCCGCCATGATTATAAGTTTCTCAAGGCCTCCTCGGCCATTTGGAACTGTGAGTCAATTAAACCTCTTTTCTTTATAAATTACCCAGTCTCAGGGAAGTTCTTAATAGCAGTGTGAGAATGAACTAATACATATCCCTTGCTATTAGACTATTGGTTATCACATTCTGAAATCACTAATATCTAAGATCCTAGCCATTTTCTTCCTCCTGTAGTGTTTTACTGACAAATTAAATAATCCAACTTGATAAAATTCTATCTAAAGCAGGTTAGAAGCTCTAATTAAAGAATCAAGTCTGCGCTTAAGTGACTGTACTATGTACTGCCTATTTTAGCCACTCAAAGATCTTGTCTGCTGATTTCAAGATTATCAGTTATGTTTGTGATAGATGATGTTGCTGTAAGAGACCTCCAGAAAAGTGAGAGGATGCTCTTAATATTTCATGTTTATATCTGAGTGACACAGGTCTACAGAGGCCCATGTCTTTAGAGGTTCAACAGGGAAATAATAGTACCATCCCTATTTAAAAAGCAAATATAACATATACATAAAAAATATCTATGGCAAAGTTTTTCTGCTTTAAGAAAACTGTAGGCTCTGTAAGCCAGGCATGGTGGCTTATGCCTGTAATCTCAACACTTTGGGAAGCCAAGACAGGAGAATAGCTTGAGACCAGGAGTTGAAGACCAGCCTGGACAACATAGTGAGACCCCATCTCTAAAAAAATTTTTTTTAATTAGCCAGGCATGGTGGTGTGCATTTACAGTCCTAGCTACCAGGAAGCTAAGGCAGGAGAATCTCTTGGCCCAGGAGTTCAAGAGTACAGTGAGCTATGATCATGCCACAGCACTTCAGCCTAGACAACAGAGCAAGAGCCTATCTCTAGAAGAAAAAAAAAAAAAAAACTATAAGGGAATATACTGACTCAGCCTATCTAGAACAAATATCTCAGCACCATAATTTAAATAGCATTTATTACATTTCTTGATTTTTTTTCCTGATTTTCAGATAAGTGAATCCTCATGGGCCTTACTCTATTACTATCCGTGAAAACATTTATAGGAGAGACCAGAACTGTCATATTGTCATCCATGTGGATGGAGCCCCCTGAAGTTGTACAGTGAAGCAGTCCCAAGCAGATGGCCATTACAGCAAGTTTTCATATTCTGGTTTTTTAGAGGGTTTTTGGTGCTTCAGTGGGCAAGTCATCTCAGTGTCCAACATAACTACATTCACCTCCCACTCATTCTCCTTACTGCAAATGCTTATTAGCCATCATCCATCCAAATTTTGAGAATATTTTCTCCAGAAAACAATCTCTGTGCCTTTTTTCATACGTTCAGATATGAAAATAAAAAGCTGTTAAAAAAGACTGCTTTGGGGTCAGTCTTACTCTCAGGACTGAAAGTTCCTTAAGGACAAGGTTGTGAAATTTTAAAATTCTCCTGCTTCCAGTGCTCAACATGGGGCCTGGGCCAGAACAGCACTCAGGAAATATGTGAGGAAGAAAGAACCATGGGATGAGGAATGGTGGAGAGAAACTGAAGAAGGATGTCTTGGTCAATTTGGGCCACTATAGCAAAATACCATAGACTGGGTGGCTAATAAACAGAAATGTCTTTCTCACAGTTCTGAGGTCTGGGAAGTGCAAGATCAAGGCACTGGCAGATCCAGTGTCTGGTGAGAGCCCCCTTTCTCATAGATGGCACCTCTGGCTGTGTCCTCACATGGTGGAAAGGACCAACAAGCTTCCTTGGGCCTGTTTGATAAGGAGCACTAATTCCATTCATGAGGACTTTGCCCATGACCTAATCACCTCCCCAAATGCCCCACCTTCTAATACCATCACCTCGGGTTAGGACTTCAACATATGAATTTGAGGGGGATAAACATTCAGACCATAGGCCCTACTAATTTTGAAGTTCAACCCACTTCTGATTATCTTATCTAATAACTGAAAATTTAAACATTTATGAATATAAATATAAACACTTGAACTGGGATTGGGGGGAGTTTAGTGAGTCTTGGTTTGTTTTTTATTTCTTGTGTGTGCATTTTTTGTTTGTTTGTTTTTTCTGGTGCTTCTTGTGAGAAATCTTGATTTCTCCAGGTAGACTAGCCTTTTCCAGGTGGGTGTTGCCATGACAGCACAATAGCGTGCAGAATGTCAATTGCAGTCTTCTTTTTACTTTTTCAGGTTACAAATGCTGCTGCCAACTGTCCTGGCCAAATGACTCTGCATCACAAACCTTTCCTTGCATGTGGAGGGGATGGATTTACTCAGTCCAACTTTGATGGCTGCATCACTTCTGCCCTATGTGTTCTGGAAGCTTTAAAGAATTATATTTAGTGCTTATATCCTTATTCTCTACATGTACACTGGGTTTTTATTTTCACAATTTTCTGTTATTGATTATTTTGTTTTCTATTTTGTTAAGAAAAATTACTGGAAAATTGTTCTTCACTTATTGTCATTTTTCATGTGGAGTATAAAATCAATTTTGTAATTTTGATAGTTACAACCCATGCTAGAATGGAAATTCCTCGCACCTTGCACCTTCTCTACTTTTCTGAATTGCTTTGACTACTCCTTGTTGGAGGAAAAGTGGTACTTAAAAAATAACAAACGACTCTCTCAAAAAAATTGCATTAAATCACGATAACAGTTTATGTGCCAAAAACTTGATTATCCTTATGAAAATTTCGATTCTGAATAAAGAATAATCACATTGTCAAGGCCCCATCTTAAGTCTTCAGATGTGTCCTTGAATCAATATTTTTGCAAATTATACAAAACAAGATTTTTCCAAAATGTGAGTAACAGAGTGTAATTCTTATTTCTCATTTATCCCCCAAGTTATTAAGTGATCCTGAATTGTAGGTCATATATGTCATCATCTTAGCGTGGAGGGCAACTTGACTGACAAAGAGACCTTCCTTCAGATTTTCAGAAAATAATAAGATTCCAGTTGATTTTCCCATCCACACAGTACTTTTTAACTTTAAAACAAATCCCAGTCCTAATATGAAAGATAAAAATTAAATAGAAACTGAGAGAGAAAATACATCAATCCTTACCTTCTGCCATCTTTTATGGCTGGTGCTGTTACTTTATGGGC